GGGAGCCGGCGGCGGCTGCAGGGGAGCGGGAGGAGGAGACGGGAGGGCCGAGCCGTGCACGGCAGCCTCCGCCAGGCAGCGCCGTGGCCATGGCAGGGAGGATTTCCAGGGGAACTTCTCGCTGTCCCCCCGCAGGCAGCTCCCCACAAGCTGCCTGGTCAGCGGGGAGATGCAGCCGGTGCTTGAGAAATGTTTCCCTGCCTAAAAGTAGGGCTGTAAGGGCAGGCTTTTGAGGAACCCGCCGGTGCTCCAGGTAAATGCGATTGACATCTTCGAAACTCTTGTGCCAGCGCTAGACGGCATTTGCTTGCAGTCCGGCGGGTCGTCTTTTGTAGCCACAAAAGGACTAGAGCTGCAGGGAAACTTTTTGGTGGGGGGCTGCGGGTGTTATTGAGGCCACGTTGTACATGGATTTGAGTTGGGTATAAAATGTCTGTGTTTTTAATAGTGAGATTCAGTCTTTAAAAGTGCAACTTCATCAATGTTAAGCATTAAATACATTAGGGAAGTATAGATTTAAAAATTCCATATTGACCGTTTGACAGACATCGATGCTTCATTTGTGCCGGATGAAGGTAGCAAATTAGGAACCCGTTGTTTTGTTTTACAATGGGAAGTGCTAATTCAGTGATTGACGAATGACTTAACAACAATTATTAGCACATTTATATAACTCGTTGTTCAAACGTGGCTTTGGAAATCTTTGCGGCATCCAAGTTAGCTGTACTGTTACTAACTAAGATGGAGTTATTCCCAAAAACATACAGCAGCAACTCATTTATTTTATTTGTGCCCATTCAAACTACATCTGTAATGGATTCACGGTCTGAACAGACAATCCTGTCACTGGAGAGTGTGGGTGCACTTTAACAACACCATGTGTCATCAGATGACATCTGGCTCCAAAACAAAACAAACTGCTATTAAGGACCTTTTCTTTTCATTTTTTTCTCTCCTTAGTTCTTTTCTTCCATCTTCCCCTCATCTCTGGAAGCTCCATCCGTATTGGAATAGGCAGCAATTATTCCAATCTCTGTAAGTAGTCCTTTTTTTTTTAAACTGCTTTAATGGCATGCCTTGCAGTTCTGTACAGCTGTAGCTATATTATATTTAAAGCCCTCTACCAGATAAGACGTCAATCCAGTAAAAAGCAAGTAGCTTTCTAAGAAAATAATTATATTAACAGGGCTATCCTCATTTATTTAGGGATAAATTCTGCAATCTTTAAAGCAGCTGAACCTCTCTTTGAATGGGGCCTGTAAAATTTGGTGCCAAGTACAGTACTTTTCTAATTTATGTTTAATAGATTTGCAAGTTTCTTACTTTCAGCGCTGTTACCTACAACTTTAGGACTTCCCTAACAACTGATATGCAAACTGGATACATTCACATCAAGATGTCCACTTATCCAGAAATTCCCTACCATTTTCAGTAATCACTGTAAGAGCAGAAGTGGCTCAAAATGGCTTTCAGTGACCAAAACAAATCAGAATACAGGATCTTTGAGCCATAACTGCTTTAATATTTTTTCTTTTTTATGATTTCTTTTGTAGTAGTCGAATGATTTTTTTTTTTTAAATAGGCAATATAAACTTAAAAGTCCTAAATCTCTCCTGGATGTTAAGCATATTAACGTCAATGGAAATCCACATGGATGCCAGGGTTCATGCTAACAAGTTCTGATCAGGAGCCTCATAGGTGAAAAAAGAGAAGGAAAAAACCACCATGAAGAAAGGTTGAATTGCTAGGTTGCTTCTGGAAACTGAGCATATGAGCAGACAACGTAACTTAAGGTAACGATTACTGAAATAATGGAAATAAAACAAACTCCTCCATGATGAAACTTTAAAGGCTGGATCCTAGTCATGGTAGAAATGACTGTCAAGGTCTGCTAGACCAAGTCTGAAGTCTGAGAGACGTTGGACCAGCTGTCCTGTCACTTACTAGGGACAGACGCAAATAATTTCCAAAGTTAATGAAGCCACTCCCCATCCAGGCCTAGTAACTAGGGGTGTGCAAAACAGGCCCTATTCGATTTGGATTTGGATGTGGCCCGAATCAGGATCAGTGATGCAATCCGTTGATTTGGATCACCATCCCCAATTCGATTCGGTCAAATCTGAATCTGACTATTTGATGCTGATTCGGTGAATCAGCGATTCGGACACAGGCACAGCTTTAAAAGTTTTTCTACGTACCTTGAGGTACCAGGCATGGCTCGTGATCACTGCGGTGCTGGGGCGCATGGAGAATCCCACAGGAGCACAGGGGGCTCCTCAGCGTGTTTGGCAGGGAACCTGGACACGGTCTGCCGGGGAGCATGCTGGCA